TATCTAAATGTCCCATTTGAGAAGTCAATGTACTATTTTTTTATAATATTACTAATTTAATCTTCTTGTATTAAACCTGTAAAAAATAAATTATCACATCACTGTAAACTCAGTAAAAATAAATTTAATAATTCATTCAATATTAAAACAATACAAAAATAATAATAATAATTTTCTTAAAAAGTTAAATTTTTTAAAAGAAATACTTTTATTTTGGAAGGAAGAGAGTATTAAGTAACTCGAGTTGTATGTATTGGTGTTATTTATCAGCCGCCGGAACAATTATGCCTCGTGAAATTGATTGTGACGTTTCCAATTTTCTGCATTTTTCATTTTTCTAGAATTTTGTTGGTGCAAGGGCACTGTGATACCCCTCGGATCCGTGGGGTATCACAGTTGGTATCAGAGCATGCATAGACCAAATTTAATATGTCAGGGACTCCATCATGCATGTGAATAGGTTAAATAATCATATTATTAACCAATAAATTGCTAAAACAATTCAGAAGATTGTTTAAATATTTCAGCAGTTTAAATCCAAGCATTAACCATATAGTTGCAGTAAACAATTTAATAATTCAGCAACTAGCCTCCTAAGCATGCATAGATCAAAATTAATAATTAAATGACCTTATCATGCACTTGAATGCATTCTAAAACAAGTTTTATAAATACATTATGTTCCATCAAATTGCTGAATTTTAATTCAACAATTAATTCAACTTCCATTTGTTAAGTGCCTTAATTTTTACACTGTTTGTCCCGACAACTTAGAATTAAACTTTGCTCAATTTAGGGTCTTAATAACACTCAAAATTCTTTCCTTGATCCCTCTGTAAAGTTCCAAATTCATTCAAACAGTCTCCATGCTCCAACAGTGAACATAGTATGTAGAAAATTAAAAAAAACATAAAATAAATCAAGAATACCAAGGGAGCCTGCTCCAGAATTTGGAGCAGGCTCTTTTCCAGCCTAGAGCCGACTCTAGGACTCCCTAGAGCCGGCTCCACTTTGTTGTGGGAGCCGGCTCCCACTTCCATGGAGCCGGCTCTCACTTCCTCTGAGAGCCTTCGTCCCCGGTGCGTCGTTTCCGCTCTTGTGCTCCTTCTCCGGCTTATTTCTAACCCTCTGTTAGTCTCTGAACTAATCTTAGGACTCGTAATTTAGTCTAGAAGCATTCCCCAAGATTGTTTACAATAGTTTTGAAAGCAATTACAGAGTTTAATCAGGTCATTTAAACTAGCGTTGTTGAAGAACGGCACTGAAACTAAATTGCAAGATCAGTTTTATCCCAACCCCTCTGTTCTTTCTCCAATTTAAATTTGAAGTCTTAATTTACGTCTAGTATCCAGTCAGACCTTGATTGATTTCAGTAAGATTCAAAATAAAAATTAGAACAGTGGGACGTTATGCCAAAACAGAGTCAAGAAAACATACGCGCTATAATTATTTTGTAAATAAATTTTGCACAGATAAAACGATCAAGCAAATCATATATCAAACATGCATGGTTCAGTTTAAGGCCAATTAATCTCCTAGAGACTGTCTAGGTGCACAGAACACAAGCCAAAGGGAAGGAGAAAGAGAAGAACTTGCCTGTACAGTTTTATAAACAGAACCTTGACGCCGTTGTTCTAAGCTTTCCGGCAACTACTGACTACCTTCTAGCCTCCTCTGGTTCTGATCTGATCCACCAAACGCCTCCCTTGGTCCTCTCTGTTATTCTCCTTGACAGACCGTTACGACGCTCTGTTCTCTCAACTTCTTTCTTTACTGTATACGGGAATATGGTGAATAGGGTTTTAGAAACCCTCGGCAGACGTATACCCATATATTTATAGAGTTATACCAAAACCCTACATTAATTAGAGCCCTAACTAAATCCTAACCGGCCCATAGAACTTAATTAAATCCTGTGTCGGCTAAAGAAACTAAACCCTCAATTTTGAAACATCGTTAATTAAAATACTTTCTAAATTACTTCCTAAATTAAAACCTTTAATAATCAATTAAATAAATAGAATGCAATTTAAACAAAGAAATAGATACCAAGTAAATACACGTCACACAGGTAAACAATTAAATAAAATAATTAAACCAAATAATCATGCAAAAATACAATAAAAATAATAAATAAATGCCGAGACTATCCTTTTAAAATTAGGGGTATTACAGGCACTTTCGTCGTTTCACGTTTTGTGCACCAGACACCTTGGGGTGTGTCGGTGAGTTAGCTGGGGCATTTCATTGAGTCCAGGACTCTTTGGAATGTAAGGTTTGTCGTTTTCACATTTTTTTCGTTTTTTCGGACCGGACGGTCCTGTATAGGACCCGCTACCGGTATTGTTGTGCACGGAGATTTTAGTTGGATCTATTTGCATTTCACATATTTTAATTTATGTTAATTAAGTGACATTTACTTGGTGGTGCATGTATTTTTTTATGTGTGGTGCAAATTAAAGTTGAATGAGATAGGAAAAGTCAAAAGTGGTGGCGGGACCCACCACCCATATACTTAGTGGTCTAGAGACCACCAAAGCCTCACAAAAATTCTCTCTCCCCGCTGGTTTTCTCTCTTGCCCTCTTTTCCTCTTCATTTTTTTTTTTTTATCTTGCATCAAACTTTGAAGCAAGATTTTTCTCTCATTACTTGGTGATTTTAAGTGTCGTTTGAGGCAAAACGGAGAGCACAACGAGCTCTATGCATGAGTACCAACAATTTCAGCTTTGAACCTCTCTAGGGATTTCAAATTTCTTGACCCATTTGAGAGTTTTGCACCAAATCAAGGTAGAGGTCCTTAATCTATGAAGTTCTTGTGCTTTTGTGAGTCAACTCCTCATAAATGGTTATTTAGCATGCTTAATTTGGGTAGTATCTAGCTAATTGTTTAGTTGATGTGTGTGTATTTGCTAATTGTGTAATTATGAGTATTAAATGTTTTATGTGAAGTGCATGCCTATGTGTTGATTCTTTATATGCTTAACAAGCTAGACTTATATTGTATGAAAGCATGTTATAATTTCCTTTCAAATTCTTGTGAGTTATACTTTGCTAGTTAATTTTGAGCTGGATGTGGAATTATAAATGTGGACATAACATTGATGCTTCCATGCATTAGTGTTGGCCATGAAAATGGGGAAAATTATTTTGAAATGAAAATGGAAAATTTCGGGAAAGTGTTTTGATGAAATGGTTTTATGAAAACCCGGTGGCCATGGGGGTACCAAAGGGTTAGAGTGTTAATACAGCCTAGAGGGAATTAAGGAGATTGTCCTAGCGTGGTTGAGCTAGTTGGGCCCCATAATGACGCCGCAGAAGTACCAAGGGTCAGGGACACTAGTCAATCCTTCCCTCGTGTCGCTGCGGGGTCACCAAAGGGTGGGTTATATTAACAGTTTGAAAGTGATGTTTTGAATAATGAAAATGGGGAGAGATATTGTCATGCATTGCATTCCATAGCATTACCTTGTTTATACTTGAAAATTGGTTATTATGATATATTACCCCGACATAGTATGATCCCCATTCCCATTGCTCTATTCTTTGTATGGATTGACGGGGACACAAGAAGCGTGTCTTAAGTGCTACCTACTGAGCGATTCGCTCATCCCATTTTACCTAACATTTTTCAGGGCATGGTAAGGAATTGGCAGATGATAATCCACCACACGTTTGACGGAGTGCTTGAAGTCTATCATTCTGCTATTTTGTACCTAGGCCGTTCTTTTGTACAATCATTGTTTTGGAAATGTATCAAATATTAATATTCATGGCCTTGTAACTCAAATATGAGACTTAGCTTTTATTTGGTGTAAATGGAATTAATGTAACCATTATGTATATTTCCATGTAATTGTAGCAAGTAATGTTGTAAGATGATTATATGATGATACTCATGTTCATGATCGTAGAATATCTCATTTTGATGGTTTAGTTCAAGTATAAATCATTCTAAAGTCCCCATCTTAGTTTTCCTTTCATTTCCAAAGTGCAGTATGTTAGTTCCAGCTTCAAGGCTCAAAGAACCCCTTTGTTGACTCTCGGGATCTCCTATTTCGGTCGACTGAAATAGGGTTCAGTCGACCGAACCACTCACAAGCTCTCAGGATCTCTACTTCGGTCGACCGAAGGGGAGGTTTCGGTCGACCGATGTGGAAGGGCTTGCTTCGGTCGACCGAAGTGAGTCTGTTTGGTCCAATTTGCTCTTCTCGTTAATGTATCAGTCTCTCGAGCCTTAGGAATTTGTTTTGAACTTTGTGAAAGCCTAGTGACGACCTAGGGATGATCCTAAGGGTGATGTTGTGACACTTGAAAAGATATGTTTGACGTAAATGACCTCGGGTTCGAGTAAGGACCCGGCTAACGATTCGGACCTCTGGGTTCGGGTCGTTACATTGATTGACCGAACTTTCCCTAAAATGAGAACAAAATACCATAAGCTAAAATGGTTCACTATACAAATCTCAAAGTGGATACCTTAACTTGGTGGTTAAGAGTTTCACTACTTGGTGGAGATTGAAAATTCTAATTTCTTAGGACCATGCCATTTCAGAAGAAAAAAAAAAAAAAAAAAAATTGAAAGCGAATTGAATTTTGCAAATTTTTTTTTCTCTTTCCAAAATTGAACTTTCTACTACGCCTATATAAAAACAAGCTAGATAAGACAAGAATAATTGAGAAAGAAATTAAAAAAAAAATAAAAAAATGTTTATGCAATCAGTTTAAGCACTTAAAATCATAAATAATGGGCAACTTGTAATAGGATAATGTATAAATAAGTTATGGTTGGGTAATACTTTGGGAAACAGAAATGACCAAATCCTGTAATTGAAGCTAAAAGGCTACAGTATTTTATTTAATTTTTCCTTTTTGTATAGCCGCCGTTTTTTATGACACGTGGCAAGAATTTGTTGGACTCCCTATTCAACAATTTCCAAACCTTCTTTCTTTCTTCGGCTCTTTCGACTCACCGTGCTCGTAGCTTGAGTTTCAGGAGAGTTCAAAATTTCCAAACCTTCTTTCTTTCTTCGGCTCTTTCGACTCACCGTTTTCGTAGCTTGAGTTTCAGGAGAGTTCAAAATTTCCAAACCCTCTTTCCTTGTTTCGACTCACCATTTCCATACGTTGAGCTTGCTGAAACTTCCAATTTTCCAAACCTTCTTTCCTTGTTCGGCTCTTTCCATTGTTCTTCAATGGCTTCTGTGTGTACTACAGTGTGTACTCCTCTACGTTTTAAACCATCTATTTATTCGGTTACAACGGGTCTGTCTTTGTGTCATCGGGTTCGTTCTCGACCCTCTGTTTCTGTTTCGGTTAACGTTGGATCTCGTATCAAACAAAACCCTCCTGGATGTTCCTCTGTTTTTAAAACGGGTATTTTCTTCTTCTTCTTCTGTTTTTTCTTCTTATCTTTTTTCGTTTTCTCTCTCTGAAAAAAAACCCTAGCAATGGTCTTTGGAAGGTGTTAAAATTGTTGATAAGATTGATTTGATTAGATTACAATATTACCCAATAACTGTTTATGAATTGATTTTCTTGATCCGATTCAATATGATTGAGAGAGAATTCATCCATTGAATTTACAGGCGAAAGATTTATCATCTTTGTGGGATTAAATCCAGACATTAGATGATGGTCCATGAGTTCTTTCCTTTCAACTAACAGTGTGTTTGGTGCCTAGTTAATGTTTAAATTCTCTTGTTGTTAGTATATATGTCTTATTAATTTTAATTTGACAACCTCATTTATGACTGTCATATGTTCTTCTCTCCATTTTTTTCTTTACATATCATTTATAGATATATTAACTAAAAAAAAAAGAAAGTCTAAAATGCACTAAAAAAAATTTGTAACAAAATTTTTTTTAAAATCAATTTTATACTAGTAATTTGGCCCCCAACTTTATATTTCTGGCTCCGCCCCTGCTTTTGGAAGGTCTTAGAATTGTTGATAAGAGCAATTTGACTAGATTACAATATTACCCAATAACTGCTTATGAATAGATTTGATAGCTCACATATTTGTTATTCATGATTCAATCTGTTGTTAGTATATATGTCTTATTTAATGAGCCTTCAGAAAATTTTATCATGTTAGTATTATTAGTGTTGTTGGTGGTGGTTCATTTGAGTATTGAACCTGCTTTACAGGGAGGAAGAGGGGTGACCTATTTCTTGTAAGGGGAGGAATATTTCCCCCGGGCAGTGAGGATCAATTAGACAAGCACGATGGTTATGATGCTGTTGGTGGTGTCAGAAAACAGATGGCAGAGATTCGGGAAATAGTAGTGTGGCCGCTGAAGAATCCACATCTATTTCAGTCAGTTGGTGTGAAGCCACCTAAAGGGATTCTCTTACATGGACCTCCAGGATGCGGAAAGACTTCAATAGGAAGAGCTATTGCTAACGAAGCTGGTGCTTCCTTCTTCTGTATAAATGGACCAGAGCTTATGTCTAAATATGTCGGAGGGAGTGAGAGCAATCTCAGGAAAGTATTTGAGGAAGCAGAGAAGAAGGCTCCATCGATTATCTTTATTGATGAGATTGATTCTATTGCTCCCAATAGAGAGAAAACTCATGGGGAAGCTACAGGGAGGGTTGTTTCCCAGCTGTTAACCCTTATGGATGGTGTTAAAAGCCGTGCTCATGTTATTGTGATTGGTGCTACTAATCGTCCTAACAGCATTGACCCTGCCCTGAGAAGGTTTGGTAGATTTGATAAGGAAATTGAAATTGGTGTTCCAGATAGGATTGGGCGTCTTGAGATTCTTCGAATCCATACGAAGAACATGCTGCTTGCTGAAAATGTAATGTCAAACACTATACTTTTGAGTTAGTATCATCTTCCATATATATTTTTTTAATAGTAGATGTGTATATTGTTTTTGAACAACTTATATATGCTTTTAATTGTGCAGGTTGATTTAGAAAGAATTGCCAAAGACACACATGGATATGTCGGTGCTGATTTAGCAGCTCTGTGCAGTGAGGCTGGACTCCAATGCATCAGAGAGAAGATGGGCGTGATTGGCTTGAAAAATGAGGACATAGATGCTGAGATACTCCACTCCGTGGCTGTTACGAATGAGCATATCCAACTACAAATTGGTACCGGAAAAAGCAAGCCATCAATTCTGCCTGAAACAGTGAGTGATTTTTTATATTTTGTCTTTTTCTTAAGCAGGTATTGTATTGATCAAAAGATAGATCAATAAGTATATAAGGATCAAACTTTATGCCTTTTAATTGTGCAGGTTGATTTTAAAAGAATTGCCAAAGACACACATGGATATGTTGTTGCTGATTTATCAGGTCTGTGCAGTGAGCCTGCATTGCAATTCCTCAGAGAGATGGGTATGATTGGCTTGAAAATTGAGGTCATAGATACTGAGTTACTCAACTCCATGGTTGTTACGAATGAGCACTTCCAACTAAAAATTGCTACGGGAAAAAGCAAGCCATCAATTCTGCGTGAAACGGTGAGGGAATTTTTTATATTTTATTTTTTCATAAGCAGGTATTGTATTGATCAAAAGATGGATCAATCAGTACATAAGGATCAAAGTGAAGGCATTCCTACACTCTAGACATCAACAAGAAAAAGAAACAGATAAGTACCACATCCAGTATACATGGAAGAAAAAGAAACTAGGCATTATGTGAGATGAAGCTATCGTATACTTAATAAACCAATTCAGCAGGTGATCAAATGTTCTCACCCCTGGAAGAGACCGACTCAGAACATCATCAAACCATGCCCATATTTTCTTAGCAAATTGGCACCCCACGAATAAATGATCCCTAGAATCATCAAATGAAAGGCAATTAGAACACACTGAAGTCAGCTGCAACTCCCTCTTCTGCAGATTAAATATTGATAAGTGCTTGTCCAAAATAATCAAACAAGCAGCAAAACAATTCGATGCCTCCCCTTATTCCAACGCAACTTTCTCCAAGGAAGATGTTGTCTACATTTGTCCCAAGCTTTTTTAGAAGTAAATGAACCCTCATCCCACATCAATCTATCTCCACCATTATGAATAGGCAAAATAGAAATGAACTGCTTTACATGGTACATCCCAGCTCCCAAAAAACTGAGATAGCATCTACCATCTTGAATAAGAAAATTCACATCTCTTAACAAGCTAATAGTTGAATTTGATCCAACATTAAAATTCACATTCTGTAGCATGATGTCCCAAACTGATAGAACCTGTTCCAAATAGCAGAATGAGAGGATGAAAGAATTGAACTCAATTAGGAAGCTAGTGTTTCTGATGTACCTATTAGTAAACCAAGCAACCCACAGCGACTCTTTCTTCTTAATCAAGTCCCAAACCAAAGCACGTGAAAACGATTTCTGAATATCCTCAATCTTTCTCACACCAAACCCACCCTCAGCTTTAGGTAAAGAGACCTTCTTCCAACACAACAATTGAGCTTTCTTCACCAAATCTGAATCTCCCCAAATAAATGTCTTCAATTTTCTTTCTATACCACGAGACACAAAAGCAGGTAAATGAAACACAGCACTCCAATAGTTTCAACTCATTTCTAATGTTTTGGTGAGCCAGGTTGTTGAAGTGCCCAATGTCAGTTGGGAAGATATCGGAGGCCTTGAGACTGTTAGGCAGCAGCTTCAAGAGGTAGTTGCAGTTGCTGCATTGCAGCGTATGTATACACCTAAACCTTATATTTTTCAATTTTCTCCTCATACTCTCTCTTTATCATGTAGATCATCCAGTATCCCATGGAGCATCCAGAAAAGTTTGAGAAGTTTGGTGTGTCAGCCTCAAAGGGAGTTCTTTTCTATGGCCCACCAGGATGTGGGAAAACTCTTCTGGCCAAGGCTGTTGCCAATGAATGTCAGGCAAACTTTATCGGTGTTAAGGGTCCAGAATTGCTTACCATGTGGTATGGAGAAAGTGAGGCTAATGTTCGAAAAATATTTGAAAAGGCTCGCCAATGTGCTCCTTGTGTGCTATTCTTTGATGAGCTGGATTCAATTGCTATAAAGGTCTGTTTTAGTGTTTTTCTACCCTGATTTGTTCGTTGTGATATTTTGTAATCCCTGTTTAAATTTTTTTTTTTTTAATCCTTGTAGAAGGGGCACAATTCAGTAGATAGTGGCGCTTCTGACAGGGTTTTGAATCAACTGCTAACGGAGATGGATGGATTTTCTACCAATAAAATGGTTTTTGTTATTGGAGCCACCAACAGGCTTGATCTTATTGAGCCGGCACTTACGCGTCCTGGCCGTTTTGATCAATTGATTTATATCGCTTTGCCTGATGAAGAATCTCGCTATCAGATTTTCAAGGCTTGCCTTAGGAAATCTCCTGTTTCTGAAGATGTAGACCTGGGATCCCTTGCTAAGAACACCCAAGGCTGCAGTGGTGCTGATATTATGGAAATATGCCAACGTGCCTGCACCTATGCCATAAAAGAGGAAATTCAGAAGGTAAGCTTCTGTACTAATTTTTCAAGTGTGCCAACAAAAACCCCAGTGACCCCAGCACGGCCCAGTCTTTCCAGCCTTACCACCCCAGCACCCTAAAAATATTGGTAGTTGAATGAAAATTATAAAAGCCTCTTCATATCCCCACATAATTGGAACAATGGTGTTGTATCATGTCTGGAAAGGCGTGTAACAACTGTATTGGTTAAGTGTGAATATATGTCCTTACGCCAGCGTGGTCTAATCAGAGTCCAAGACTTGTTTGTTCTGATGTCACTAATTTGTGTTAAATATAATCAGATTTAGTTGTAACTGAACTTCCATGAAAGTTGGACAATGCTTGGTGCGTTTGAGTTTGGCCTTTTAGTACAAAGGAGATAGCATGTAATGATAATGCCATCCCCGTAAAATCGGTCCTTTGTCATATTCTGGTCTGGGAAGTCCTTACACTAAAGAAGTGATAAGAAAAGCAACTCAATTCTTTTAAAGGCACAGTGCCCTCATTTGAATCTATGTGAAACTCAAAGGACTTGTTTAGTTTAAACCCTCTTCGGAAATTCTTACTTTATTGCGTGGAAACTAAAATATTAAGGTTGAATTTTCACTTTTCATTTTGCAGGAGAGTGAGAGGGAGAGGAGGAGAAGGGAGACTCCAGAGGCTATGGAGGAGGAAGTAGAAGAAGAAGAGGTGTCAGAGGTCAAGGCTGCCCATTTTGATGAATCAATGAAATATGCGCGTAGGAGTGTAAGTGATGATGATGTCATTGATATGAACCAGGCAGTTGTTGCAGGGGGTCTGAACTGACCATTTTTGAACCTTTGTTCAACAAACACCTTTGAAGGCAACAATGGTATTAAGACTAATGGTCGTCTGATGATTACTATGTTATTGTTACACGCTTTTTGTGGCATTTTCACTCGAGACTTTGTTAGATTAAACAATTGACAGGTTAGTGGAACTAGAACTTCTTTATAATAAGTTCTTTGAACCCTAGGTTAGTGGCTTGAATTATCTCATGTTATTTCTATTTTCTTCTTGTGAAAATCTTTTTGATAAGAATGGATCAATTTTGGAGCAAATATACATTCACGCATTTATACATTTATTTAGCAATTGTTGTAGAGATCATTGTTTGATATGCTAGTAAAAGATCAGATTGACATGCATGTTTGTGAAAAATGCTAAACATCACGGATTATTTTTGTGATGTGGTTTCTCGAATTACATAGCAAGTGAAACTTTTTGATGGATGAGATTGCAACTTAGTATATTCTGAAAGTAATTTTGTCGAGATAATACATGATAGGATAGAGAAAGAAAAAAATTCCAAAAAAATTATTTATTATAAAATCTAAAGCATAAAACTTTGACTTACGCTTCAAGGGTTATAACTTTCTTTTCAATAAGAACCATAATTTTTTCAACCATCTGCATGCATGTGAATAATTTGATAAATAAATAATCAACTTGAAGTTCTTAAACTCAGAGTGCAATAGAGAATATATATAAAATAAAAGATAAAAGAAAAGAAAAGAAATTAGAGAGAAAAAATCAATTTGATTGTTCTCTCATTTCTCTTTTAATGGTCATTTTGCCTAGTTCCTTAGAATATGAGAACTTATTAAAAACCAGATGCGTACATGTATCTATATCTATATATATATATATATATATATATATATATATTACATACACTTATATGATCAAAATTGAGCAATGCTACATATCTGGAATAAAACTGGAGATATGTATCTCAAATACAATGTGGCGATAATTAGAAGAAAGACATGTTCTCTATTTTAATAGATATTATACTTTCTTTCTCTTGTTGAAGTATTAACATATTTAAGTTATAGTTAAATTAAGAAAACAAGCAAATCCAAAGTTGAGTAGATGATTCTAATCATGTATGTGTCTGTAATTATATATATATATATATAGGCATTTGTGTTTTCTCTTACTTTTGAGCAAAGTATATTTTTTTGTGAATATGGATGTGGAGTAAGACCATTAGAAAGTGTAATTTCTAAATGGAGGAGTTTAGTATAGACCTGACCTTTTGACATTATATAAGTATAGAGCAACCCCCATTTTTTTGAATTTGACAATCTGTTTATTTATTTTCCTTTTGTACTTGAACAAATACATTAGATTGTTTCAACGCTTAGGAAATTGAACCCTCAGCCTTCGATGTAAATACGTCAAAGGACATAGTTATGTCCCATTACGCCACAAATGAGATGGGATTGAATAGTTGGATATGTTCTAATCAGGTTATGCTTAGTATGAGAATTAGAATCAAGATCGATCCAACCCCAACCATCCCCCATTCAATTTTTCAACTATACATAAAATTTACGATTCTTTAGATATTGTTCGCGCGGTTTTTGTTCCCTATGCCGGTCGATGGACTCTTCGCGGGCGTGCCAGAGTATTTGTACAAAATACCCAAAATATGTAATTGAACACCAGTCTATCCCTTTTTCCGATGGCTGACTCTCAGGCGATTGTGTGGGAGAGAGACTAGTAAGAACTCCCAGCAAGGTTCTTTTATGCCTTATTTGTAGCAAGAACTTTTTAGAGTGTCTAAAGAAATACAACGGCTGATGAATGTTTGAATGGATGGAATGGCCGAGTGAAGACAGGCGGCAAGAACTTAATCGATCGCTAGCCGAACGTGATGGCGAGAACTTAATCAATCGCCATCGGCCGAACACAATGGCAAGAATTTAATCGATCGCCACTGAAACGTGATAGCAAGAATTTAATCAATTGCCATCAGCCAAGTAATGACAAGAATTTAATCAATTGTCACTACGATTCAATGGCAAGAATTTAATCAATTGCCATTGAATTGAAAGCCTAACTAAAATTGCGTAATTAAAATTGGCATAATTGAAACTGAAAGAAAGTAAATGGCTGAATCGAAATAGTTGACGAGGATCTAATCAATTGCCATTAAATTGAAATAAAGAAATTGATAGGAAAATGACATAGAGTCAATTGAAAACATTTTTAGTTGAAATGCATGTTTTGTGGTGGTGCTGGACAAATTGGAATGGAATACAATACTTCTATTTATAGAAGTTCTATCTCAACTTATTTTCCTAAGTTATTGCTAGAAAATCTCTCCTTCTTTGATTCTTTCTCTTCACAATTTGAACTCAGTCAAATCCTATTGTTATTCCGCTTCCTTTCTTGTTTTGTTTCAGTAGGAAATCTCTGTAAAAACAACCTTCCTCGATTTAATCACATGTAAGTTGCCGAGATATTGCTAAAACGTTGCTAGAAAGTTGCTAAAAAATTGCTAATTTTTAGCAACTCCCCTCCTTAAGTTTAGCAGCCCGTTTCATTCCCTTAAATGGCCTAATGGCCATTTGTAACTTTTAAACTTATACGGCTATTCCTTTCTTGTTGAAATTCCTGCTTCATTGGGATTTAGTTATTAGTCTTCTCTTTTGAATTGATGACATATTTGAATTGATTCAAATCTTCTACAAATATATTTAGCAACAACCTTATCAACAAAGTGGCTCAAATATATTTGCCTAGATTTTCTCCTCTTGTTTCTCAATTGGCCGTCTTTCTTTAAGACATAATAAACACTTGTCAATTCTTCATTGGTCCATGTCATCGCTGAGATGGCTGCCAGTTTTTGGTGCCAACAGATATATAACTATAAAATTTATTATCATTCTTATAAATTATTTGGTTATATTTATATTTTCTAAAGAATTGATATTGAATTAATAATAGATTGTATTTAGTAATTGTTTGAAATATGCATAAAAGGAACCGTCAAATCTTCAATCTATCTCGAGTTCGGAATGAGGCAAGGCAAGACCAGTTAAGTCTGAGTATGAATGGCAATGGGGCGGGGGATCTCATTCCCCATCCTTATTTAATTTTTTCACCCCCATAATCGCACCAAAACCCGCCGGGTTTTTCAAAGCAGTCTCCATCTCCATCCCCATCTACATAATCGGTTCCCCAAATTCGCTCCCAAACAGTACGGGGCCTCGTTGGGATGGAGATTTTTGTTATTCCTAATATATATATATATTTAACTTATTTTATTAATATATCATAGTATGTAAGAGAAATTTAATAAATTTATAATATATTTGGGGAGGGGCGGGGCGACCATCCCCCGAAACTATCCCAAAATTGGTCGTGTTTTTCAAAACAGCCCACATCCCCGTCTCCATTTACATAATCGGTTTTTTAAAATCGCCCTCAAACGAGATAAGGCGAGGCAAGGCCTCACTGGGGTGGAGATTTTTGTCATCTCTGAATTTGAGAATTAATTTGTCTTTATTGAACGAGTTTAGAACAAGATCGCTGTGTGTTATACCCGCTCCATTTACATCTCTATACTAAAAGTTTGAACAGCCAAATTAAGCCAGCAAGTAGGTCCAATTTGTATGAATATCTAATAAAGCCCACAAAAATATAAAAAGGAAATGGCCAAGGGTTGCATGACTGTTGGAAAATGGTCAAACTCAAATCGTGACGTTTATTTATTTATTTTTTTTATTTTTTTAATTAACCTAGAATGTTCGGGATGGCACGAACCCTTATGGCCCTCAATAACCCGATTAATACCCGAGGATCCGGAAGGGCATCTCCCCACTCGAGTCGGGTAAGTCACTGCAGGGGCAGCGGAGGCTAGCCACAAAGAACACCCAACGGGATTCGAACCCCAGACCTTGGGCTTACTAAGCTTCAAAATCCAGTGAGTAAACCGCTGAGACATATCCGAAGTGAGGTTTATTTTGATTTGTCTTTTTTCCTAGTTTCTCAAAATTGCAGTTTCGCATAATGATACATGAGATTTTCTCTAAATGAAATTTAATACTGTATTTTAATTGTATAATACTCATATAAATTTTTTTTTGAAATGTAAATTGTTTTATTTTTACGTTCTTTACTTCATTTACTATTTTTTTTTCACGTGCTATACTATTTCTTCTTCTTTCTTTTTTTTTTCTTTTTTTTTTGGAAGTCCTCTCAAAGAATAATTTATTCAATAGAAATAATTTAATTTTTGACGGTCAAAAGAGATAATTTATTCAATAATGACTTTTTTTTATATATATATTTTTTATGTTCCAATCAAAAGAGATAATTTATTCAATAAAGTTTAACTTTTTTTTAGGCAAAAGAGGTAGTTTTTTTAGTAATTTTTTATGAGTCCTGTCAAAAGAGATACTTTATTAAATGGAAATAATTTTTTTTCCTCAAAAGAGATAATTTATTCAACATGTACTCAACAGAGATAATTTTTTTTTTTTTTTTAATTTTGTGAAAAGAAACTTAAAAAATTAAAAATTAAAGACAAAGGGATAAAATTTGAAAAAGCCAGTTGTGTCATTTTTTATAAAATAACAATTTCTTTTAAGACTTAAAAAAGTGAAGTCTGAAGCCTTCCAAAAATTATTGTAGAAAATATTTTGTGATAATCATTTAAATTGTTGTGGTGTTAATAAATGCTGTAACAACTATGCCTCATGGAATTGGTTAATAGGAGTTTCCCGTTCGGGAAGTGTTGTGTGGTGTAGTGTAATGCTCTAATCTAGAACAGAACAAGTGTCTTGTGATGTAGTGTTTTGAAATGAGAACAAAACATGTTTGCTGATGAAAATTTGCGGTGAGAATTTTGGAATAGAAACATAGTAGAACATGTTTGGCAAGGTATTTAATTTCAAGAAGTAAGAGAACAAAACATGTTTGGTAAGTATTTGTGTTTTATAGTGTTTTATTTATAACTTTATTAAATATAAAGTTATAAATTAATTATTGTATAATTTTAGTATACAATTGTGTAATGATTTAAACAGATTAATTGTTACCAAACAAATTTAAAATTACTACTATATTTATAAAATTTGAAAGATAATGTATCATAAAAAAATATGCAGTATATGTATATTTTTTATTTTTTATGCTGAATTTTTATTTTAAACTTACATTCTTAAAAATTCATATTTTGATTAATATTTTCATATTTTTTATTTTTTATGCTGAATTTTTTATGCTCAATTGAAGAAAGAGTAATTCTGAAAAATTCATATTAACACAAACAAAATCTGAATAATTTCCAGCAAACAATAGTCCCTAAAAATGGATCCTTCTCTTCCATCTTCAAATCTGAATATTGTAGATCACATTGACAATTAATGAAACGCAGACTTGGAAGAAAAAAAAAAAAAATGAAATGCAGACATATATAATTATATATAATATATGCAACGGGAATAAAACGAGGCTCAGAGTTGCTTTAGATCAAATCAGACGAGATTGTGACACAACCATGGCTGCAACAGCAGTTGCCCTTGAGAATACAAAAAGCATCTCACAGACCATCCGAGTCGCCCTGCCATGAAACGAGTCATCTTCTCGATGATTAATTTGCTCAGATATTTTTCATCATAGCCTTTTGCAAAAAGACCATAAAAAATTTGGACGGAGCTTGGGGAGAATCTGGACAGAGCGAATAGAATACGAGAGTGGAGAGAGAGACGATGAAGAGAGAGGTCGCCGGACTTTCCAAAACGCCAATTTGAAGCCCGACGGTGTGCACGAAAGTGTCGTCACAAATGAAGCGCAAGATCGCCTCTGCAATCGCCTACCGAATCGCCCACTACAGATGAGAACAAACCCTACTTTTGTGTTGCAACTGCTTTACACCTGTTCTGCCATGAGCCAATTTGTTCTCACCGCTACAATGCTTTTTGTAGCCCAAAAAATGTTGGAACAAACTAGAACACTTTTTTGGTGTTTCACCTTTGGGCCCAAAAAGATGGAGTGCTCTGGTACGGTTGAAAACAATACAGGCCATGCCAAACATGTTTTAGGCCTAGTGGTATCGTAGCATTTTGGGAACAAAACAAAACATGATAGAACAAACACCAAACAGGCCCTAATCGCATATAAATTTACCAAAAAAACATGCACAAAGAATACACATGTCATTTTCTTAGGTCAAATTTTTATCCTAAAAGTTTCATAAAATATCATTTTTAGTGGAAAATGATAAGCTTTCGAGAGATTTAAATGATTCGGACATAATAACACTGATGAGTGTAAGAGTTAGCATTGTCGTGCTTGCTTCAGAACATTAAAAGCTCTCTAAATTGACAATCATACCCTCCATGGGCCATGCCACATTCTCTTATGTTGTCCCTCTTCAACAATACACTATCCACTGAAACGTGAACAAAATACCAAAACCTAAATTTTTTTTTTCTCCCTCAAATTGGCAATTTTGTTACCAAAATTGAACTTCTATTACAAGCAGAGCTATATAAAAACATGTCAAATAACACAAAAAAAAAAATTTGAAAAAGAAATCAAAAAAGAGATTCAAAAAAGTTTTGCTCTCTATAAAAAAAGGGTTAATTACAATGACACCCCCTGAGGTTTACCGTATTGACAGGCATATATAAGTTAGCTCTTTTTCGGACAATGAGACCCCCCAAGTTTGCAAACTTAAACAATGACACCCCAAACTGGATGAAAGTACATGTTTACCCTTTGAGCATGTAAAATGATCAAAGTAACCTCAGTCAATATACTCAACCACCACTCACCTGTAACGACCCTCACCCTGGCTAGACATAATATTGTCCGCTTTTAGCTCACCCAGACCAGAGACTACCCAGGGGGTCACCCATCCTGGTACTACTCCAAGTTAAGCACGCTTAACTACAGAGTTCTGATGGGTTCACGGCCATCACGGCTTTAAAACGCGTTGTGTTATAGAAGGGTGTTGAATCTACATATAGCACTTGCCCCATCCACACCCAGACGATGTGGGATTGTGCACCTGTAACTCGCCCAGTGTGGTAGCCTACTGGTACCCCCTGCACATGTTCACACACACCCGCCCACAAGGTCGCCACAATCACCCCCCCTTTGGGGCCCAACGTCCTCGTTGGCCACACTTCCGGCTGAGTCAGGCTCTGATACCATTTATAACGACCCTCACCCTGGCCAGACACAATATTGTCCGCTTTTGGCTCACCCAGACCAGAGACTTCCCAGGGGGTCACCCATCCTGGTACTACTCCAAGTTAAGCACGCTTAACTACAGAGTTCTGATGGGTTCACGGCCATCACGGCTTTAAAACGCGTTGTGTTATAGAAGGGTGTTGAATCTACAAATAGCATTTGCCCCATCCACACCCAAACGATGTGGGATTGTGCACCTGTAGCTCGCCCAGTGTGGTAGCCTACTGGTGCCCCCTGCACACCCTCACACACACCTGCCCACAAGGTCGCCACAATCACCACCACAACCTCGACAACCACCATCTTTTTCGTTGTTCCACCACCATCACACAAACCCAACAATTCAAAATTACACACATATATCTATATATACATACATACAAAACAATAGGGTAATTACACACATATATCTATATATACATACATACAAACACATAGGGTAAAGACAGCCATTGAACCCGGCTATATTACCGCCACCGCTGCTACTAATACTGCCCACCCCTTCTTTCTCTCTCCACCCACCACTGCAACCTCTACCACCACAACCAAAACCCATCAATTGATCCCATGAAAAACCAACAAAAAATCTAGCCAATTGAACCCATCAAAAACCAAAACCCAGCCAATTGAACCCGAGCTGTCTACCGTCCCCATCTCTCCACCTTCAGAGCTTTCTACTATCGATCCTTTCGAGCACAGCCATTGAACCCGACCGAGTCCAACTCGGACGAGTCAAAGCCCGTTACCGCCGCTGTCAGTCAGCCGCGCCCGTCACCGTCGTTCCAAAGTTAACCGAGCCAACTGTCACCGATTCCGTCCAGCCAAGCTATCCACCGACGTTCAGTCCTATTAGCCCGTCACCCACAGCTGAGGCCATCTTCATTATGGTCAAGCTCCTCGCCAGCCGCCGCGAGTCTTCCACGGCCGAGCCATCCATAGTTAAGCTTTCCACCGGCCGAGTTCATCCTCGCAGAACTCACCGCCAACCCGTCTGTGATACCCCTCGATTCTAGAGCCACGGCTGATCAAGTTCGAGTACAGATCCGAGGGATACCAAACAATTAATATGTAAACAAGTAGAAAATAAAAAACTGAATTAAGAATAAAATAATAATGCGCTGAAAAGAATTCTAATTGTAAAAGTCCTCCAAAATAAAATATTGATATAATTTAAATCTTTAAATCTGTACAACTCGGGAATCCATCTAGTGGATCCTAATAATCCCAACCGATAAATAAATTTACAGAATTAAAATCCAAAACAAAATAAGAAAGAAAATCCTATGTAGTCGGAAGAGTGAGTGTCTGTATCTGCATCAACACGATCAAGCTCTAAGCCTGGTACTGACGAACACCTGAAAAATAAGAGTGGGTCAGGCCCATATGCAAGTTCCAACCTACCACAATCCATACATAAACCCGATACGCAGATACATCCTAGGTAGCTCAGCAATATCTAAATAGTCCGTAAATATAAATATATTCACACTACAGGACTTTCCCTGGACTACAGGCCTGTCTCAACCTGACTAGCAGACCTAGCAGGGCACACATCAAACCATCATAGCCAGTTATGCATCCCAATGCATATACGCTTCCTAACCATTGATCCTGAGAGTCAAGCTCATATCGTGGTAACATAAATATATATATAAATTCCATCCAAAACTAATAAAGTGCCGCTCAACTGTTCATTGCCAAGACACGACATTTACTTAGGATTTAAATGTTTCAATTAAATCCCTAGCCCTCCTACTGCAGAAAAATATAGAGCAAACATCCGTTATGTCGTTCAACTGTTTTAGTTGACAGGACATGCATTCATGTAGGATTTAACTATTTTAGTTAATCCATTCCTTATGTATGAAGGGGTAGGACTTAGCTTTTTAATCTAATCCATCCCTGATATGTCACCATCCCATACCGGTACATATAATGCAAATGATCTTCGAGTGATGCACATTCATTAGAACATCAAATATATCCAGAAACTAGCATAATAGAATTCAGATAGTATTAAGACCCTATCATGCATCCAGTATATGATTATAATCATAAAACTTCCATTTAAATTGTTAAAGCATTGATAGACAATTTAAACCATCTATATCCATCCAATGGACAAAACAGAAATTTCAACAGTTCATTAATTAACACCAACATCATGGTATAATGACTATCAGAAATATGACCTGAGCACATTATACTAGACATCCCTAACCATACTCTCATACTAGTTCATTTAAATTATTAAAACAAAGACTAGTAATGAAAGTCCTCCTTAATCCCCAACGTCATGAAAATTATCATTTCATTTCATGAAGTCCTTTATAATCCTTCATCTTAAAACCTGTGCCTGACATAATATGTCAACTAAGAAGTCTCACTGCACATTATATAAAACCCCAACGGTATTTTATACTTACCCAAATAAACTGGTTAAAACAAACCGGTAAATAAAAGCTCTTCCACTCCTGACAGCATGCAACCATGTATTTAAATTACATGACGTCCACAACCACAACCTAACCAACCCTCGTGGAACTTAAATATATCATAAATATCTTTGATATAAAAGCCTAAAAATACCTGTTATTTCAGTTCATTGAATTTGCTAAAACAACTGGCAATACAGTCCTCCCTCTTTTCGACGGCATTCACATTTAATATTTTATAATTCATACTGTCTTCTCCAGTTAACCCACCAACTTATACTTTAAGGACCTAACAGGTGGAATTTTAAATATTTACAACCTCCCATACTTTCCGGAAACTCCGTTCAAGCCCCTAAAATTAGAAAAATTAAAAAAAAAATACCCCCAAAGGGGTTTTTGTTCAAGGGAGCCGGCTCTTTATCTTCCAGAGCCGGCTCTCCCTCATGGAGAGCCGGCTCTACTTTAATAGGAGCCGGCTCCCTTACTTGGGGAGCCAGCTCTCTCCCCCTGAGAGCCGTCTCTGCTCCATGCGTCCTCTCTGCTTTGTTCAGTTACCTTCTGTGCTTCCGGCGAAGCTTCCAGTCACTGTCCCAACACTTTTAACATTCCTAGGGTTCCATCTAAGTTCCTAAAGTCCTAGAAACTTTTCACCTTCCACTATGAATTAATTTACAAAAGTTTCAATTCATAAACAAACACAGTATGCAGGAAACCGATTTCAGTTCTTTAAACACAGCAAGTTACAGTCTACTACACATGCATCAACCATTAGTTTTAAAGTTGAATTAAACCCTATAGACTATAAAGAATGCACAGAACACAAGTTTATAGGAAAGAGATAGACTGAAACTTGCCTCTAGGTTTCAGTTTGAAACCTTTTGCCGTCTCTAAATTGCAGAATTTCCAAGACTATATTTCTTTCTCTGATCACCGTTCCCTTCTTCTACTGCTTCGTGGTTCCCTCCAAAAGCAACTCCTTAATTAACCTCTCAAGACCCTCACTCTGTATCTCTCTTCACATTCCTCTCAATTTTTTCCTCCCCAGACTCTATACGTGAATAGGATTTCTTAAACCCTTGCAGACACCTATATTGTTCTATATATATAGATTCCTCTAAAACCTTAATCTTAAGTCCAGCAACCCTAATCCTAAGTCCAGCCTAAATCTAAGTCAGCTAACCAAAAATACTTAACACAAAAACCCTAAACTTAAATATAACTACAAGCATATATCTTAAATCAAATAAGTCACACAAGTCATTTAAAAACACGTAATTAATCAAATAAATAAATTAATCAAATAAATAAATTAAATCCCAATTACATGTAATTAAGTTGAAATAAATAAACAATATAAAACAAATACACAATTCCAATTTTAACAAATCAAACAATTAAACACTTAGCCAGATAGTCGTATTTGAATGCACATAAAACAAATAAACAATTTATCAATTTAAAATGCCCATAAATAATTAATTAAATCAATTAAGCTGTAACGACTCAAAACTAATACTTTTTAAACAAAAAAAAAAAAAAATTCGGCATGACCTCCCCTAAAAATAAGCCTATCACAACCTGTTTAATTACATTTTTAACCTGTCATGGCTCAAATTCCGAATTCACGGCAACAAAAGATAATGATACAACCAACTAACCTAGACAATGCTTCAAATTAGGATTATCCATCCATTCATCAACAAGTTGCATGCAATCAAATCCCCATCCAAAACATCATCAATACTTTAGTTATATTACATAACAAAGTTCCACAAAATAATTATACATCTTTGCACTTCTAGTGTTTTACAAAATAATGGGGAATATACAAAGATACAAAAGTGGACTTCTAACGCCGTTCAAGCTTGAGGTGGGTTGTCATCCACCAGTTCCTTTCTAAGACCTGAAAAAAATATATATAGATATAGGGGTGAGCATATAACTCAGCAGGTGACACTTAAGACACAATTCTTGTGTCCTAGTGAATCCAAATAAAGTATAGGCCAATGGGAGATTGGGGACATGCATTGAAGGGGAAAAATAATTACAAGTACAAGTCAAATTCAATCACACACAAATGCAAATGGAGTGAGATGCAATGCATGCTAAAGTCACTCCCCGTTTTCATTCTCAAAACCATCACGTTCAAAGTTAATGTAACCCCCTTTGGTAACCCCGCTGCGACGAGAGGAGGATTGGCTACCGTCCCTAGGCCCTTGGTGACCCCGTGGCACCGTCGAGGGACCCGAATAGCTCAACCACGCTAGGGTACTCTCCCTAGTCCTCCCTAGGGTACATTAACCTCCGGCCCGTTGGTAACCCCGCAGCGACCGGGTTTGTCAAAACCAATTTTTTTCCAAAACATTCATTCCTAAATCCCCATTTTCATTTCAAGACAACCACTTCCCTTTTTCATACAACCCAATGAGATGTAGGCTCATGTCATGATCTCAATATAATGACAAATGGGAACTTAGCACAATAATAAATAAGCATGTTCTCATGGCATCATTATAGCATGTTAGTAACCTCAAAAAAAAATGTAAACAACCATCACATAGACATACTTTTCATTCAACCATGTTATACACATTTACATAACTAGCATGTTGTCAATTAAATCATTTTAATCAAAATCAACAACAATTAAACATGCTATAACACACATAGAGGAGCATGATTCATTATAGAGCAAGATTCCATAGCTTAAAATGTCCCTACCTCACAATCCAAGCCGAAATCCCTATAATAGGTCCTCCAAATTCGAGCTCAAAGGAAGACTCAAATCTGGAAATTGATAGTATGGATGCGTAGAGCTCGCTACAAGCTTCGTTTCGCCTCAAACGGTTCCTAAATCCGATGAAAGATGATTGAGTAATCAAACCTCAAAGTTTTTGTCTCCAAAATGAAAGAAAAAGAGAAGGAACCGAGAGGGAGAGAGAGCATACGGGAAAGAGAAAGAAAAGAAGATTTCTTGGCCAAATAAATTAGTGGTGGGCCTCACTTGAAATTATTTTCCTTTTCTCTTTAATTTTTTTTTTGTCTCAAATTACACCACAAATACACAATTGCACCATACAAATGCTACATCACCACATAAATTAAAATGTAGGAAATGTAACTGGACCCAACCACAAACCCGGATGGTAAAGTGAAAAGACGAAAATGCCCTTGCATTAACGAATTTTCAGAAAATTCTAAAATGCTGAAAATTACCAACTTATAAGGATTTCGTCCCTGAAATCAAGACATACCTGAGGAAGAAAACAACGCTGGGTACTTGGACCGAACCTCCTGTTCGAGCTCCCAAGTAGCCTCCTCGACTCCGTGGTGTCTCCAAAGGACTTTCACCATTGGTATCGTCTTGTTCCTCAACACCTTCTGTTGAGTGTCAAGGATCTGAACTGGTCCTTCCTCGTAGGAAACATCCTCATCAATATCCACATCAACCCAACTTAAAATGTGAGATGGATTCGGCTCGTACTTTCGTAACATCGATATATGAAAGACATTGTGAACTCTGTCCATCTGTGGTGGTAAAGCAAGTCTGTAGGCAACCTCTCCTACCCGATCCAAAATCTCGAATGGTCCAATAAATCGTGGCGATAACTTGCCACTCTTCCCAAATCTCATCAACCCCTTCCGTGGAGAAACCCGTAGAAAAACGTGGTCTCCCACCTCAAAGGATAACGGTCTTATCCGCTTATCCGCATAGCTCTTCTGTCGGCTCTGAGCTGTAAATAACCTCTGTCTTATCAACTTAATCTTCTCAGTAGTCTCGAGTACAATGTCGGGTCCTAAGGCGGCTGTCTCGCCTACCTCAGTCCAATAAACAGGAGACCTACAAGGTCTACCATACAACGCCTCAAATGGAGCCATCTGGATGCTCGCCTGATAACTGTTGTTGTAGGCAAACTCAATAAGTGGAAGGTGATCCTCCCAACTACCTCCCAAATCAAGTATACATGCCCGAAGCATATCCTTCAAAATCTGGATAGCACGCTCTGACTGACCGTCTGTCTGTGGATGGAATGCCGTACTAAGATGCAACGCTGAACCAAACGCTGCTTGAAGTCCTTCCCAGAACTTCGAAGTGAACTTAGCATCCCTATCTGACACAATGGTTACAGGGACTCCATGTAACCTTACAATCTCTTTCACATAAAATACACCAAGCTTCTCTGCATCGTCTATTGCCTTAATAGGCAAAAAGTGAACCGTCTTGGTCAATCTATCAATGATGACCCATACGAACTCATTGCCCCTTCGTGACCTTGGAAAACCTGTCACAAAATCCATAGCGATATGCTCCTATTTCCATTGCGCTACAGGTAATGGTTGCAACAAACCCGCTGGCCTCTGATGCTCGGCCTTCACCTGCTGACAGGTAAGGCATCTAGCCACAAACTGTGCAACATCATTCTTCATCCCGCTCCACCAATACTGACGTCTCAAATTGTGATACATTTTAGTACCACTTGGATAAACTGCAAAACGGGAAGTGTGAAACTCCCGTAGGACATCCTCACGACAAACTGTGGGAACCACCAACAAACCCCTGAACCGTAGACCCCCATCTGTATGCAAGGCCCAATCTTTCACTGTCTTACCACTAGAGATCAAAGCGTGGATGACATCTAAGTCCGGGTCCTGTCTCTGTGACTCAATCACTCGTACAACAAGAGTAGGCTGAGCCACAAGACTAAACAAGAATGCTGACTCACTGTAACCATCATCATCAAAATACTGTAATCCCATCTCTGCCAGATCTTCAAGCATCTTCCACTTCCGAATAGCTAAACTGGCCAAAGTTCCATGAGATTTTCGGCTTAAGGCATCAGCTACAACATTTGCCTTGCCCGGATGATACTGCAAATCAAAGTTGTAATCTTCCAAGTACTCAACCCATCGTCTCTGTCTGTTGTTCAAGTCCTTTTGGGAAAAAAGGTACTTAAGACTTTTGTGATCTGAAAATACCTCGAATCTCTCACCATACAAGTAATGTCTCCAACACTTCAAGGCAAATACAACTGCCGCTAACTCTAGGTCATGAGTAGGGTAGTTGTACTCGTGAGTCTTCAACTGTCGAGACCCATAAGCCACTACTCTACCATCCTGCATCAACACACATCCCAACCCGTCACGTGAAGCATCACAATAGATCACATAACCCAAGCCATGCTCAGGTATCACCAACACTGGCGCTGTAGTCAATCTCGTCTTCAACTCCTGAAAAGATGAAACACAGGCCTCATTCCAGACAAACTTGACCCCTTTCCGAGTCAAACGGGTCATAGGAGCTGCCAAATGGGAGAAATCCTTCACAAATCTCCGATAGTAACCCGCTAAACCAAGAAAACTGCGGATCTCAAACATTTTCTTGGGTCGCTCCCAAGTCAAAACTGCTTCAACCTTTGATGGATCAACTGATACTCCACCTTCTGAAACAACATGCCCCAAAAACTTCACCTCCTGTAGCCAAAACTCACATTTCTCGTATTTGGCATACAATCGGTGCTCTTGCAAAATCTGTAAAACAATACTCAAATGGACCTCGTGATCTTCCCGAGTCCGTGAGTACACAAGAATGTCATCCATGAAAACTACCACAAACTGGTCCAAGTAATCGTGAAAGACGCGGTTCATCAAGTCCATGAATGCTGCTGGCACATTAGTCAAGCCAAAAGGCATAACAAGGAACTCATAGTGTCCATACCGTGTACGGAATGCTGTCTTCGGGATATCCTCATCCCTAACCCGCAACTGATAATAGTCAGACCTCAAGTCAATCTTCGAGAAACAACTGGCTCCCCTCAACTGATCAAATAAATCATCTATCCTTGGCAAAGGATACTTGTTCTTGATGGTGGCATGATTCAACTTCCGGTAATCGATGCATAACCTCAAAGATCCATCTTTCTTCTTAGCAAATAAGACCGGTGCGCCCCACGGTGACACACTCGGTCGGATGAAACCTTTCATCCTCAAATCATCAAGCTGCCTCTTCAATTCTTCCAATTCAACTGGGGCCATTTGATATGGTGCCATAAAAATCGGCGCGGTACCTGGCATCAAATCAATAGAGAACTCCACTCCTCGGTGTGGAGGCAACTCTGTCAAATCCTTCGGAAACACGTCCAGAAAATCACAAACAAACGCAGGATAATCCTCTTTCCCAACATCATCTTCTTCGGTTATAAGGCTAGCCAAGAAGTAATCACCATGACTTCGTCCACGAACTCCATAAAACGATGAAATGTGGGAATCACTCCAATCTACCACGAAAAAGAAACAGTCTCCCTCGGAAGTGCAAACTGTAACCCTTCCTCTGTAACAGTCGATCGTGTCATGAAATGAAGCCAACCAATCCATCCCGAGAATGACATCAAAGCTAGTCATCTCCAGGAAGATAAGGTCAAACATGAAAGTCCGCCCGACTATCACAATGGGACACTCCCGCACAATTCGGCTCAAAGACACTGAAACCCCAACTGGCGTATCAACACTCAACGCCCGTTCCAAGAAACTAACTTCCAACCCCGATGCAAGTGCAAATGATGATGAAATGAAATAATGAGATGCACCAGAGTTAAACAAAACACGGGCCCAACAACCAAACACTGGAAATATACCTCAAAGAACTGACGGTCCAGAAAATGCATCGGTCTGTGCCAGTGCAAAAACACGTCCCTGTGGTACCTGTGCCTGAGGACTGCCAACCTAAACACCTAACTGCTGCACTGACATAGTAGGAGTATCCCTCCTAACTGACCGTGAACCCTGTGAAGACAAGGCAGGCTGTGGTGGTGGCGGTCTGAAACCTGACTGAACTGTAGCCGACTGAGATGGCCTCTGTCGTGACCCTCTGCCACTACCTGTGCCTGCTCCCTGGCCTGGACAATCACGAATCAAGTGACCCTGCTGGCCACACCCATAACAAGCCTTCGGAGTTGACGAAACTGAAGACGATTTCATCGGACAACTGGACTTGTAATGCCCAGGCTGCTGACACTGATAACAAACAACTGCACTCCTGTCAGATCCAGCTGGCATAGGAGTGGTAGGAGCAGATCTTGTAGACTGTTGTCCTTGAAACTAAGATGAACCACCCTTATTCTTCTTCCAAGAAGATCCCTCTGAAGATTGCCCTGCACCCCTCTTTTGCTTCCATTGTTCTCTTCTTGCATCTTTCTCTTTATTATCAGCCTCCAACATCAAAGCCCTTTCCACTGCTTCAGAATAAACCTTAATGAACTGTGCCATGATCAACGACTTCATCCGATCATTAAAACCGGAAACAAACTTCCGAGTCTTATTAGCTTCATCTCTCACCACTTCTGGAGCAAAACGAGAGAGTGAGGTGAACTTGTTCTCATACTCCGCTACTGACATGTTCCCTTGAATAAGATTATGAAACTGGTTTTGTAACTCCCATCTTTTGTAAAGCGGAAAATACTTCTCATAAAACAGCTCCTTGAACCTGTCCCAACTCATCTCTTCAATCTTGTACTGGTTGGTGATCGACTTCCACCAAACCTTGGCATCCATAGCAAACTTGTAAGTTGCTAGGATGATCTTCAAGTGATCCTCTGTCACATCCATTGAGGTTAGTTGGGTTTCAACTTGATCCAAGTAGTCATCTGCTACCATTGGATCCGCACTGCCCTCAAACACTACTGGCATCAACTGAGAAAACCCTTTTATGATCTTGAGACGCTTCTGAGCTGGCGTCTCCTCAACTTGAACTGTAGGTTGTGGTGCCGACTGCGACTGAGCAACAATTGTTGCCCTCACGACATTTTGCAATAAACGATTAAACTCCAGTGCCACAGAACCTTCACCCACTTCTACGGGTACGGGTGTTTCAACATTCTCTCTTCTTGGGGGAACGGCTCTTGGGGGAATCAAGTCCCTAAGAAGCATGTTCTCATCATTTAGCTCCTCCGGATTAGAGCTGGAGCTCTTACCAACATCACCCCTTGTTGGCCTAGGCCAACTTCTCTAGGTTCCTCACGCCGTGACATCGTGCTATAAAACGAAAAAATGATTCAAAAACATGACACTAAGACTGTGGACGACTCAACAAGAATTGATACCGTACAACACTTAGCATGCAAGACTATGCAAGAAACATTTTAACATAAACAAGTAAGCAGTAAGCACATAGGCAGTTAAGCATGCTCATTTAAGTAAAATATCACGTAGTAAGTAGTCAAGTAAGCAACACAAACAACATTCCATGTGACCCTAAGTAGGCCTCTACCCGTCGTCTTAAAGGTTTTCGAATCTTTGCTCTGATACCAAATTTGTAACGACTCAAAACTAATACTTTTTAAACAAAAAAAAAATAAAAAATTCAGCATGACCTCCCCTAAAAATAGGCCTATCACAACCTGTTTAATTGCATTTTTAACTTGTCATGGCTCAAATTCCGAATTCACGGCAACAAAAGATAATGATACAACCAACTAATCTAGACAATGCTTCAAACTAGGATTATCCATCTATTCATCAACAAGTTGCATACAATCAAATCCCTATCCAAAACATCATCAATACTTTAGTTATATTACATGACAAAGTTCCACAAAATAATTATACATCTTTGCACTTCTAGTGTTTTACAAAATAATGGGGAATATACAAAGATACAAAAGTGGACTTCTAACGCCGTTCAAGCTTGAGGTGGGTTGTCATCCACCAGTTCCTTTCCAAGACCTGAAAAAAATATATATAGATATAGGGGTGAGCATATAGCTCAGCAGGTGACACTTAAGACACAATTCTTGTGTCCTAGTGAATCCAAATAAAGCATAGGCCAATGAGAGATTGGGGACATGCATTGAAGGGGAAAAATAATTACAAGTACAAGTCAAATTCAATCACACACAAATGCAAATGGAGTGAGATGCAATGCATGCTAAAGTCACTCCCCGTTTTCATTCTCAAAACCATCACGTTCAAAGTTAATGTAACCCCCTTTGGTAACCCCGCCGCGACGAGAGGAGGATTGACTACCGTCCCTAGGCCCTTGGTGACCCCGTGGCGCCGTCGAGGGGCCTGAATAGCTCAACCACGTTAGGGTACTCTCCCTAGTCCTCCCTAGGCTACATTAACCTCCAGCCCGTTGGTAACCCCACAGCGACCGGGTTTGTCAAAACCAATTTTTTTCCAAAACATTCATTCCCAAATCCCCATTTTCATTTCAAGACAACCACTTCCCTTTTTCATGCAACCCAATGAGATGTAGGCTCATGTCATGATCTCAATATAATGACAAATGGGAACTTAGCACAATAATAAATAAGCATATTCTCATGGCATCATTATAGCATGTTAGTAACCTCAAAAAAAAATGTAAACAACCATCACATAGACATACTTTTCATTCAACCATGTTATACACATTTACATAACTAGCATGTTGTCAATTAAATCATTTTAATCAAAATCAATAACAATTAAACATGCTATAACATACATAGAGGAGCATGATTCATTATAGAGTAAGATTCCATGGCTTAAGATGTCCCTACCTCACAATCCAAGCCGAAATCCCTATAATAGGTCCTCCAAATTCGAGCTCTAAGGAAGACTCAAATCTGGAAATTGATAGTATGGATGCGTAGAGCTCGCTACAAGCTTCGTTTCGCCTCAAACGGTTCCTAAATCCGATGAAAGATGATTGAGTAATCAAACCTCAAAGTTTTTGTCTCCAAAATGAAAGAAAAAGAGAAGGAACCGAGAGGGAGAGAGAGCATACGGGAAAGAGAAAGAAAATGAGAAAGAAAAGAAGATTTTTTGGCCAAATAAGTTAGTGGTGGGCCTCACTTGAAATTATTTTCCTTTTCTCTTTATTTTTTTTTTTTTTTTTGTCTCAAATTACACCACAAATACACAATTGCACCATACAAATGCTACATCACCACATAAATTAAAATGTAGGAAATGTAACTGGACCCAACCACAAACCCGGATGGTAAAGTGAAAAGACAAAAATGCCCTTGCATTAACGAATTTTCAGAAAATTCTAAAATGCTGAAAATTAGAATTATCACATAAGCAAACACAATTAATCACTTAAAAACAAACAAAACAACTAAGTCACATAACTAAATCAATGAAAAATAAAATAAAATTTTCAATTATGTCATTTTGAAAACTAGGGGTATTACACTGTCCCTTCAGGATCCATCACAACCGCTATTCTCGGCTGTCATTTCATCCCACTAAGTTTCCATCTTGCTAAAAATAGATGACGGTGAGGGTTCGGGCAGAGGCCATTGTCGGAGAGTATCTGGAGTTTTTGTTGGCCAGAGGCCGTTGCCGGGCAAATCAAAATTCGAGCCAGCAATGAGGAATCAGTCGCGATTCCGGCAACGATTTTCTGGTTCACGATTCCTGTAACGGGTCGATGGCATCCTCGTCAGTCCTCAACGCAGAGCTCAGAACTCCAGCGGTGGTGGCGCGACACGGCGCAGAGGTCAGAACTGTAGCGGCGGCGGCGCGGCACAGGTAATCAAGTTTGGGTTTTTTCAAAGCAGAGGGTAGAGAGAAAAGCCTATGATTTAAAAAGGGTAGTTTTGTCTCATATATATATATATATTGATATTTTAGATTAATAACTGATATTTTACCGAAGGGTAATCTCGTCTTTTCACAACTTTTAAGGGCTTGTTTGGATTAAATTTCGGACTAGGGGTGTGAGTGTTCAAAAAATGACTAACTTATATATACCTGTCAATACCACAAACCTCAGGAAGTGTCATTGTAATTAATAAAAAAAAAAAAAAATTTCACTAATATTTTGTGAAACGAAAATGGCCAATTGAAGCTAAAGAATTTTTTATTTTTTATATACTCCCTCCATCCCTAATTAGTAGTTTATTTTTTTCTTTTTACATATTTCAAATTAGTTGTAGTTTTTCAAAAGTTAAAACATCTTTTTATTATATTTCCATCATTATCTTTTATCTTTTTAAAAAATTTCAAACTTTATAACTATATATATTTAAATTAAAAAAAATAATTTGATAATTTTAAAAGAGAAAATACATAAATTGTATGTCACTTTAAAAATTCCAATATCTAAATATGGACTTTTATTTAGAACAGAGGTAATAACTTCCTCTGAGTAACACGTGGCAAGAATTTATTGAACTCACCCTGTCCATATGCAAGAGGTCAATCAATCAGAGTTTTCTCTCTCTCCCCTTCGAAAATGCCTTTAAACCTGGGGTTCACCATGTCCCTACGTTGAGCTTCAAGAAACTTCCAATTTTCCAAACCGTTCTTTCCTTCTCCGGCTCTTTCCTTTCTTCTTCCATGGCTTCTGCACCTTTTGTTTCTTTAGACCTTCGATACGTAATTAAACCAAGCGCTCCTGGATGGCCCTCTGTTTCTGGTTCTTTCTGCACTTCTCATCATCAGATCATCTGGTTCGTTCTGCACCTTTTGTTTCTTCAGACCTTCGATCTCGTATCAAACCAAGCGCTCCTCGATAGCCCTCTGTTTCTGAAACAGGTATTTTCTTCTTCTTCTTCTTCCTTTTTTTTTTTTTATTTATTTTCTGAGCAAAATAACCGTAGCAATACTATTTGGTATTTTCTTCTCAAAATTGTTGATAAGCGAAATAAGTCTCAAATTGTAACTTGCGATTTGACTAGATTACAATGTTACCCAACAACTGGTTATGAATTGATTTGATAGCTCAGATATTGTTATTCAATATATTGACCCGATTCAATATGATCGAGAGGTAATTCAACCATTGAATTTACAGGGGGAATGATTTATCATCTCTATGGGATTAAATCCCGAGTTATTGCCAAGAAAAAAAAAAAAATGCTGAGATTATGGAAGTAGAAATTCTAGCATTTATAGGTATTGCACTGTTCATTATAGTTCCTAATGCTTTTCTACTAATGATTTACATAAAAACGGTTGGTCAAAGTGATCTGCACTTGCGGTAGTATGAACTCTCAAGTCATGCCAAAAATAGAAAGTAATTAATTCCAGTCTCATGAGTTCTTTCCTTCAACTAACAGTTTGTT